CTCTCACAATAGAGGACATTGGATATTAGCCCTGGTAACTGTAACATTTCATAGATTAAGAACATGACAAATGCCTCCAACAACAACTGGTGCACTCAAACCCCACCACATCACTCCAATTGACACCAACTTCGAATATGGATGATTGAATGTGTGCAAATAATTCTACCAAAGCCAATACTAAAAATCAAAATTTAGCATTGCTCAAAAAATACACTCCATATAATTAACAGTGGAATGATTAAGTAATAAAAGTCATTTGGATTTTCTACAAATTCAACAATTTAGGAAATGTTTGAATTATGTGTGTGTATATCACAACAAATTGACAAAGCAAAAAGTAATCCAAACAGATTCTTGATTGGGTAAATCCACTACCTAAGTTCCGGATAAAAAAAAAAAGTTGACTTTCTACTAAATGAGATGAAGGGCCAAACAAACAATATGCATGCTTTCTATGTGTACTGATGTAAAGACCTATAATATATACTACCCATGTATAAACATATATATTATTTATTTTTGAGATTGTTGTGTAGAGATACAACAATATAATCATGAAGACACTATATAATACACTGTGTGTGGAGTTTTTGGATCATCATAGGTGGGATTCTTGGTCTTGGAAGCTACTATTTTCACTATTTATCTTGAAAATTGACTTGCGTGTAGAATTTCCCTCACTCTTTTTGTCGAGAAACATTGTCAAAGTGACATTCGCCACCATTCTCCTACCCCTGTACACAAAATTATCAAAATATTTAGCATTTGTAAGCAAGAGAGAGAGAGAGTAACACGATGCATACTATTTTTCAAATAATTTCAACAAAGTTATCTCAAAAAATATGACTCCATGATTAACAATATAAGATTCCTTGATTGTGAACAGTCTAACCATTCATTGGTTAAGCTATGAAAGCAAGGGAAGAAAAGAAAAGAAAACTACAACTTTGTGTCGCTAATCAAATTGAAAAAAGGAAAGGAAATGAATTAGTCACATTCACAAAACACTAAACTGTTCAAAAAGAAAAGGAAAAAAGAACTGAATGTTAATCCAATTGCTAAAGTTGGCATGCATCAAGTAGAGAGATGATACAAATCAACAAAAAAATAAATCTAGCATTCAATATTATGACATTTATCTAGAAACTTGAATACCAAATCACCAACCATGCACAAAAAAACACAAAAGAAACATTATTCCCAACCAATGACAGTCACTTCTTAAAAATTCTCAAACCATAAATGCCATACCCTCTTCAAACTCACATTATTGCAATCTAAATCAGTTGCTCCTAAATTCAAACACTTGGTGTGCATTATTCACAATGGCTTGATATGCAATATCACAAAATTGACTTCAAATCTTAAATTCCATGTGTAAGCCATGATCAAACAGATAAATAGTAAAACCAATATCTCTAAACCAAATCCTCCATTCGAAAGTCAAAAAAAGCGCGATCATTCAAATAGATAAACTAACCCAACTATCAAGCTAAATTTACCTTTTCGATCTATTACCTCCTATTCGTCACACTCCACCAACACCATTCTTGGAACCACTACCGACTTTGGTTATTTTCCTAGACTAGTACCAACAAGCCAATAATCAAAGCCACTTAAACAAAAGCAATTCACAATGAAAACAATTAAAGTCATAGAATTTTAGTAAAAAGATAAACCTACTAATTTTATAAGTTTGCTTGGCTCACGGTCATGATATGCCTATGTCCCACTTACTTGAACGTTTCACAAAGTTCTCGATATGGAATTTGTTTCACAAACATTGCCTCGACAAGGAATTTTGTATGCAAAATTCGGTTAAACCAATGAGATTAAAAGGCAACTGATTACAAAGGACACAGTTTGTAGGCAAAAATAAATGAAGCAAGAACAATTAAAACCCAAAAAAATTGCCAATGACTTTTTTCCTTCACTCCGATATTTTGTCGACCACCTAGAATGCGGAGGTGTTGGTTTATGGTAATCAAGGGCTATTTTTTTCTCTTTGACATTTTGTCAATCACCTAGTATGCAAAAAAAGAAAAAGCCAGAGGTTGCATGGTTTAACAGCAAGGTTCATTAGTTTTATGAAATTTTCGTGTATATGTATGGGTGTTGGTGTGAGTGTTCTATACGGATGTTCACATAATACTTATACACACCTACAATAAAAGACACAAAAATAATCCTCAAGAAACATATAACTCAAATTGACTAAATCAATAGATCATAAATATTTTTTAAATCCACAGATTCATTCTATTGTAAAAATGTCAAAATTGGGTAAGTATAAATATATAAGGTCTCCAATTTTTCACCCGTTAATCCTATACTTAAATTGATCCAAGTAGACCCACATTAATCAACTTTAAAATCAATACATGACATAAGATTTAAATAATCAAGTAGAACCACATTAACAAACTACAAAACCAATACATGACATAGGATTTAAATCAGTTGACAGTAAAAATGAATATGTATAAACAAAACTTGATCAAAGATTTGATTTTAATTTCATTAACAAATCCTAACTAAGCACAACATGAAAATTAAAAATTTCTAGTGCTTTGAAAATTACCTAGCTATTCTCAAAAGAAAAAAAAAATACCTAGCACCATGAGAGTGTCGAGTGGACACGATTGCCGCTTGAATTCAACCACCATCTAAATAACACCATATAAAACATAAACAAAGAAACTATAATTAAGTCAATTTTTCAAAATGAATACCTAAATATACATAGGCATGCAGGATCACTTCACACATAAATTAAGTATGAAGAAGATCAATAATATACCTAATGTAATCTACATGAACACAGTATCATGTTTTCTGAAGTCATCAAATAGCCTTAAAAAATATTGACAATATGAAATATTCTATATAACTCAAAAGAAAAAAAATATAACTCTCAATTGCTTTTCCGAAGACTTTTTTAACACATGGGATGAAATTAGCCCCATTGGCTTATTCATTGTCTACTTCTACAGCACACTATTAAAAAATTCAAGCATGAAAAACCAAGGAAGATTAATTTGTGACAACAACAAAAATTTTACTTTTAACTGTTAATTGCTCAATTCAATTGAAAAAATGAAAAGAAATGAACCAAAATGAACCATGTTAAACATAAAGTATGATACCCATATTAAAAAAAAAATTTCTTTCCTAAATACTCTTATTGTCAATCCCTCCATGTAACCCAATTCAACATATCAATATTCCAAAATCCCAGTCGCACTACCCACAAAGCAATCTATCCAATACAAAATTGAACTTCTTAAGTAGTAATAAACAACAATATAAAATTGAGCTAAATAGCACTAAACATCAATATAAATACAACCAAGCAACTCTATAAAAGAATGATTTAGCTTAGAAGAGGCAACCCAATTTTCGAATACACTTGAACAATTCATATAAAAGAATGATTCCCAATTTCAAAAGTGCACTAAAGTAATCAAAACCCAAATGCAAAAATACAACACATAATACCAAGAAGTGTACCCCAATCTTAGCTTGTTGTATCCGCAAATTAACAACCTCCACTGCAACCTTAAATAGAAGTCGTCGACCAATGCTCCAACCACCTGTAAATTAACAATTCTCATACATTATCAAAATCAAGAAAGCAAAAGCAAAAGGGAAAAAAAAAAACCCTCAACTTTTTTGCCAATGGTTCATGCCAGTTTTTTGAGGGCATTAGGCAAATCAATAAATTGCTAAGGTCACTTAAGTTCAACATAAGAGAAACATGCACAAAAGTAGAATAAAAATAAAGTAAGTAGCTACAACAGTCCTCAAGAATAAGTCCAACATTGAATTTTGGGTTTTGTCTGTACTCTGTAGGGCTGCAGTGGTCACTGTGATTGTTCACTACTCTTTGAAAAATTTCATCAAACACGTGAATTTCATCTACCCAACCGGTGGCGCAAAACGTTCATCACAAAGATTTAAAGTTGTTGAATTTCATCCTATTTCACTTTCATCTTTCATTCTTTTTTAACATACATCCTATTTCACCCTAACATACATCAAATCAAGACCTTATAAAAACCTATTTTATACTAATTAACACACAATATCTAAAATTATGGAAGTAAAATAAATTACACACAATCTTAATCTAAATAACCCTAACATTCATCAAATCAAGACACCATAAACTTATTTCATAAAAAAAAAATCAAATTGAAAACAATAACATTCAAAAACCCAAAAAAAAAACTTGTAATTTCACAAACTCTATTTAACACCCAAATCAATTTGCATGTGAGTATGCAGCTGTGTATGTTTGTGTTTGTGTGTGTGTGTTTGTGCCCGTTATCTGTTGTGGGTTTGTTTGTGTGTGTGGTGTTGTGATGTGGGTTTGCTCTGTGTGTGTATGTGTCGTGAGAGAAAGAGAGAGGAATACCTGGGCGACGTAGTGTGTGTTTTGTGTGCTGCTACTGCTGTGTGTGTGTTTTTTGTTTTGTGTTTGTGTTTGTGTGTGGGTTAGGCGTTATCTGTTGTGGGTTTGTGTTTGTGTTGTGTCCTTTAGTCTAATACACCACAAGAGAACCCCTTCGTCTAAGACAACACCAGAGAACCTTTTCTCGCCTAAGACAACACCAAATATTTAGGTAATTTCTAGTGCTTTGACAATTACCTAGCTATTCTCAAAAGAAAAAAAAAATAGCTAGCACCATGAGAGTGTCTAGTGGACACGATTGCCACTTGAATTCAATCACCACCTAAATAACACCAAATAAAACATAAACAAACGGAAATGATAGAAAATTTATCATTTTCACTTTTTATTTCCCTATTTTTTTCTATTCGTCTTACCAAACGGAATATTAGGGTTAAAGATTTAAAACTACCTTCAACTTAAAAGATGGTACTTTTCCCTCTTTTGCACAAATCGCCAAATCAATCAAAAAAACCCATACTCTTAATTAAGCAAATTAAAGCTTAAAGCTGACAAACTGAATAATAAACAGAAAATAACTTAAATGCGGCTGTTACTCCATGAGATTTTTTCGAAGAAGAAGGCTCAATTCGACGAAGAGCTCAAACATCTGGCCCAAATCAGCAGCATTGCCGTGGGAATAGAGGAGGGTGACCGTGGATTTGGGGTGCTTGATATGTACGGCCACGATTTCATTACTACGTCGAGTCCGAAGCTTCAAAACGTCGACGTCTTCTCTTCTAGTGATTTCAGAAATGTAAGATTTGCCACCGTAGGTGTCGTCGGAGATCACAGTGTAAGATGGTGGGCTAGGTGGGAAGAAGGCGAACTTGGCGGGGATTGACGACGTGACTCTGCCCATGGAGCTGGTTTTGGATTCATAAAGAAAGTCCGTTTTAGAGGTAGTTAGATACTTAGATCTACTTTATGGACATTTGGGCAGAGAGAACAGAGTAGTGGAGGTGGCGAGCAGAGATCACTTCTTTGTGGGTTCGTCAGAGGATGTGTTAGTGGCGGTTGCTGTGGTCGTGGAAGTGGAGATTGGTGGCGCGTGGGTTTTTGAAGACTGACGGCGATTTTATAGCATGGAGTTTATACGGAGGGAGGGTACAATTAACATCAATCAGCCTTATACAAACTTAGAGAAATTATTCCCTAACCGTTACTGTGCTGAGTTCGGAATGAAAATATTATTTGAATTTAATTTTATAAATTAATTTAAATATAATTATTGAATTGAATATAAACTTAATTTAATATTATGGATCACCAATCACAGATTCCATTAACCATAAGTCTAGCATGTCGATAATGACATGAGGAAGACTCCTAATGCAAAATGCCAATTTCATAGTCATAAAGCTTTGTTTGGTCCCCGTGAAGACCGCAACAACAACCCATTAACTTTCGTCATTTCCAATGGACCGCAAGTATGTATTTTCTTAGTCAGGGTTGCGGCCCTAGTTGGATTTTTTTTATTTATTTTTTAATATACATGTATGATTGATCACTATTATAATAAAGTTTGAGTGAATTAAAAAAGAGAAATAATAATAGAACATAACCCCCTAAAGAGAGGAATAAAGAAAAATACAATACAACTATTGCCTTTGGCATGTATTCACAGCTGACTTCTTGGTTGAGAGTATTAAGGAAAACTAAGAATGACCAATTAGTTAGTTGCTTTAATGGGCACAAGAATTAGTGATTGTTTTATATAGAATTTTATTAGGTAGGAAAACCTCATGCATGGGTATAAATAATAGCTCGAGTTTTAAAGTTTGATTTTTATGTAGACAAGATGCATGTGATTTACAACGCGGTTTGTCCATAAAAAGAATTTATGTTTTGATTATGGATTCAAAACATAATTAATTAAAATGATTATTTATTAGGAAAAATAAAATGTTAATGGTTCCATGCATGCAGCCATTGAGGCAATGGGTCAAACCTTTAATTTTGTGACAAAGTTGCATTTCTACTTGTGCATCTCTTTGATGAGAAGCTCTCATGTGTCACTAATTAAGTGGAGGTCTGTTTCACAACAGACTAGCTACTAGTCAAACAAATATACGGGGCCGGCTGTACCCTAGCTTAGGGCCTCAGGTACGTATATCTCACAAAATTATATAATTAAATTTTAAAAATAATATAAAAAAATTAAAATATTAATCTATTTATCTGAATTCCTAATATCTTTAATCTATTTATTCGAATTTATTTTTTTGAACTATAATTTTTGAGTTAGTTTTGCTTTTAATATAATAATTTACACTGTATTTATTTTACAAGTTATTTTACACCTAAAATATATTTACTAAAAGATATGAATTTATATATTTAAAACTTTAAAACAAAATAAATAATTATGCATTCAAAAAATATTTAGGCCATATCTATAATTTTTGCCTAAGACGATTTTAAATTATCAGGAAAAAAAAAATTAATTTTCGGGTTTTAGTAAACACAATTTTTCATTAACAATAATTATATGCCACATCATTTGGGATCCAATATTTAATAAAAGTTTTTAGTAAACACAACATTTTCTCATTTTATATTCCGTTAAAAACAGAGAGATGACTCAACCAGAACCAAACAATGCAGAAAGCTGTTGAATGTTCTCTCCTCATCATACTGAATTATGGACCCCCAAAACCGGCCTAAGGTTTATTCAACACGGCTAATGAGGAAAGCCCAAGCGTGTTCATACCCTTTTGTCTCTTTTTCAAAAGTAAAAAAAAAACACCCCACACACTGTTTGATTTGGAAGCAGCATGTATCTGGTTTTTCAAAACCAGTCAGTTTTGTATTATGTTCATACCCTTTTGCTTGTTTTTCAACAGAGAGAAAAAAAAAAAAAAAAGACCATCTGTTTGATATTTGGAAGCAGCATAGATCTGGCTGTCAAGTTTTTCAAAAGCAGTCAATATTGAAATGTGTATATATTATTTGATGATGGAAGGTTCATGAATATAATACAAGATTGATATCAGAAGAGAGGCAGAGTCACACACACCATTCTCAGTTTTAATAACATGTACACACTACTACCTAAAACCAACTCTCAAATTTCAGATTGTCCCATCTATGAAACCACTTCAACCACCACCATCCCATTAGAGTACCTTTGTGATGCAGTTTTTGCAGGAGGTGTGCATCTCTCTCTCTCTCTCTCTCTCTCTCTCTCTCACACACACACACACTTGATTCTTGGTTGGACTTATGCATGGAATACAGGTAGTTTCTGGGATGTTGAAGCTGCATATGGATGCATAGATGGGGTTGTCAAAACTGTTACAGGTTATTGTGGGGGAACACTCAGAAAACCAACCTACAGGGAGGTATGGGCTCAGTAAACTTGGATTTGATTACCTACGTAGTCCAAATGCTTATTTTAAACATTCTGTAGATCAATTTGAAAAAACAGAAAGGAAAATTGTTTGTTGCAGGTCTGTGAAGGAAGAACAGGCCACACACAGGCGGTTAAAATCACTTATGACAATAGACAAGTTTCATACAGATCTCTCTGCGATGCATTCTGGGAAACCCATGATCCGACCAATAAGGACTTTCTGGTATTTACCTTCTTACACTTAGTATTGCTGCGAAGTTATTACACAGTAAAAAGAGAGGGTGTGACTCAATTTGATGAGATTACCATAAGACCAAAGATGTTTGCGACCGATCCCAATATTTTAGAATTGATTTTATTTTTCTTAGTCGTAATTTTACCTCGGTGACTCATAGATAATATTCATTATGGTACCTCCTTCGATACTACAATTCTAAGCTTGGTTTTTTTGTCATCTTTGTGTTTCTAATCTGGGGAGGACATGTTTGATATGCAGAATTTTGGGATAAGTACCCACCTCAGGACTGTTATAT